GGCAACAGGATCGCAACCCTTGGTGTTGCTCCCGCGCCTCGCTCAGCCAGTGAGCGGGAACCGGTCTGTATGTGGGATCCAAACCCTTGGGCGGGAGCGCCGCTGCGCTTCCCAAGCGGCGCACTATCCAGTGTGCCACCGGGCCGGCCCAAATGCAAACTATTTTGATATTTTCTTTTAACCTAGAAGTAAGAAAAGCATAAAATGTGTAAGGGACTGATAATATATTTGTGGGTTTCTGAAGCAGTACAAAGGTGATAATGTGGTACACTTGTTGCATTAAAACAAATATTGAGGGGAAAAAAGCCCCCAAAGTAACTTTTTTTTTTTTTAAGATGACCGGTGAGGGGATCTTAACCCTTGGCTTGATGTTGTCAGCACCATGCTCATCCAATGAGCTTACCGGCCATCCCTATATGGGATCTGAACCCGGGGCCTTGGTGTTATCAGCACCGCACTCTCCCGAGTGAGCCATCAAAGTGACTTTTTAATGTGTTCTTGGAACCTGTAACATGAATGTTGTAGGAGCTTAAAAAGAACTGACTTTTTTTTTTCCTTTTTGTCTTTTTTCGTGACCGGTAACGGGATCGCAACCCTCGGTGTTGTGCCCGTACTGCGACCGGCAACGGGATCGCAACCCTCGGTGTCGCACCCGTACCGCGCTCAACCAGTGAGCGGACCAGTCTCTATATGGGATCCGAACCCTTGGTGGGAGCACTGCCGAGCTCCCAAGCACCGCACTCTACCGAGTGCGCCACCGGGCCGGCCCAGAACTGACTTTTTAATAAGCAGTTTTAGTGCAATGAATGAATGTACAGGTATTAGACCTTATGTAAATATTAAGTGAAGTAAATAGAAGTCCTTCCATCTTGAGATTATTATATTGTGAACTAGCACTAGTTAATTATACATACAACAATATGTGTAGTCTTATATTTTGATGGTTTGAAATAAACCCCAGTAACCGTAATGTTTTTCCTGTTTTTACTTTGATATTGCCAAATACTGATGCCAGTCCATAGGTGAATACTTCAACTTGAGAATATTTATCACACACGAAAGCAATTGTGGGAATCTATGAGTCTTCTCTTGTTATTTGTTATTCAGCATGTCATTACATTGCAGATTAAAGTACTTCCAATTGATGGTTAGGTGGTAGCTTCTCAGTTGCCCAGTTAAATTGACTTTGCAATATGGACATTTCCTTTACAGTTGCATTGGGGTTTAAAAAATGCTGCAGGAACTGTGCTTTGAACACAAAAGTATATTTGCTGTAAGTCTGAGCATGAACGGAGATTCTGTTTCTTTTAACTTTTGATAGCACAGGAAATGTATAAAGCAACTTGGATTCAGGTTGTCATCAAAATGACTTTACTGCAGTCATAAATTTCATATATTAGTGTGGTTTCAAGTTACATCCATTAAGAAATATTATCAAGACTGCACCAATACTTTTTGTTTCATCGATCTTTTTTGTCACATTTTGGGTCTCTATTTCATTTAGTTCTGCCCTGATCTTAATTATTTCGTTCCATCTACTTTTGGGGTTGGATTGTTGTTGTTTTTGTAGTTCTTCAAGGTGTAGTGTTAGGTCTTTTATTTGAAGTCTATTCATTCTTTTGATGTGTTTATTGCAGTAACCATCCCTCATACTACTGCTTTTGCAGTATTCCACAAGTTTTGGTATGATGTATCTTTATTTTCATTAGATTCAAGAAATGTTTTGATTTCCTGTTTAATTTTTTTCTTGGACTCATTGGTCATTCAGGGGTCCGTTGTTTAGTTTCCATGCACTTTTATAGTTTCCAGAATTTTGCTTGTTATTGATTTCCAGTTTTAATCCATTATGGTCTGAAAAGATACTTGGAATGATTTCAGTTTTTAAAAATTTGCTGAGACTTGATTTGTGACCTAACATATGGTCTGTCCTGGAGAATGTTCCATGTGCTGATGAGAAGATTGTGTATTCTCTCATTGTTGGATGAAGTGTTCTATAGATATCTGCCATGTCCAACTGGTCTAAGGTGTAATTTAAATCCTGTGTTTCTTTGTTGATTTGTTGCCAGGAAGATCTGTCCAGAGCTGAGAGAGGGGTGTTCAGGTCACCCACTATTATCATATTAGGGTCCATCTCTTTTTTAGGTCTAAAGAGTGTTTGCTTTACATATCCGGTTACTCCAGTATTGGCTGCACACAAATTTATGATTGTTATGTCCTCTAACTGGATAGATCCCTTTATCATTATATAATGGCCTTTGTCTCTTTTTATGGCTTTTGGTTTGAAGTCAGTTTTATTTGATATGAGAATAGCTACTCCTGCTCATTTTTGGTTTCCATTTGCATGGTATATCTTTTTCCATTCCTTTACTTTTTTTAGTCTCTGTGTGTCATTATAGGTGAGGTAGGTCTCTTGAAGACAGTGTATAGTTGGGTCTTTTTAAAAAAAATTTTATTTTGTCTAGTTGGGTCTTTTTAAATCCACTCAATCAGTCTGTATCTTTGGAATGGGGAATTTAATCCATTTACATTCAGGATTGATATTGGCAAGTGTTGATTTACTCCTGACACTATATTGCTTTTTGTTTATATGTTTTAAATATCGTTTGCTCCTTTCCTCCCCTTTTATTTTTTATCTTCAATGTTAGTTGGACTTTTGAGGTGACGTGATTTAGCTTATTTCTTTTTCTTGTTTTTATTGTGGTTTGAATGGCAGGTTTTGTTCTTTCTTCTAAGTTTGTAATAGTGATTATCGTTTTTCAGATTCCAGATACAGGACTCCTTTGAGTATTTCTTGCAGGGCTGGTCATGTAGTAGAGAACTTCCATAATTTTTGTTTGTCTGGGAAATATACTGTTTCTCCTCCATTTCTGAAGGATAACCTTGCTGGGTATAGAATTCTTGGCTGGCAGTTTTTTTCTTTTAGTATGTTGAACACATTATCTTGTTTTCTTCTGGCCTGTAAGATTTTAGTTGAGCAATCTGATGTTAGTCTGATGCAGGCTCTCTGACAGTTGACTTGATGCTTTTCTCTTGCTGCTGTTAGAATTCTCTCTTTGTCTTTGAGTTTTGCCAGTTTGACTATAATGTGTTTGGAGAGGATCTTTTTGAATGAATGTTTGGGAATCTTTGGGCTTCCTGGATCTGGAGGTCTGCAATCTCTCCCTATACCCTTGAATAGGTTTTCAGTGCCTTTTCCTTTGTCCTCCCTTTCTGGAATACCCATGATTTGGATGTGTGAGTGCTTGAGTTTGTCTGCTAGCTCTCTTAGATTTTCTTCATTTTTTAAAATTCTTTTTTCCTTTTTTTTGTCAGCCTGGTTTATTTCAAAAAGACCATCTTTGAAGTCTGAAATTCTTTTTTCTGCTTGCTCTAGCTTGCTGCTCAAGCTTTTTGTTCTGTTTTTTACTTCACTGAATAAATCGTTCAGTTCTAGAAGTTCTGTAATATTCTTTTTAAAGATATTAATCTCCTTGTAAATTTCCTCCTTCATATCTTGAATATTTTTTCTTGTTTCATTGTGTTCTCTAATTGATTCTTCTCTTATCTCTGTGAGTTTTCTTAAGCTCAGTGCTCTGAATTCCTTTTTAGACCTCTCAAGGGTTTCCTGCTCTATGGGGTCTGGTATTTTAGATTTACTGTATTCCTTTGGTAGTGCCATATCTTGTTTATTTATAGTTGTAGTATATTTTTCATTGATGTTTGGTCATCTGGTAGGACACTTGTTTCTTCTATTACTCTGGAGTGGGCTATGACTTCCTCCTCTGTTTGTAGGCTCTGCTGGTGACTCTTCTAGTATTAGTGCAGTTGAGTGTGTTGTGGGCTGCCTCTGCTCCTGTTTGGTTGGTGGGAAGACCTCTCTGTGGCTTGGACATGCACTGGTGGCTGTGTTGGGGTGGCATGTGGGACCTGTGCTCACCTGGGTGCCTGCTCAGTTGGTGGGTGGGCCTCTTCAGGGCTCAGGCGTGCACTGGTGGCTGCATGAGGAATGGCACATTGGACCCACTCTCTTATTTTTTTTTATAAGATTTTTATAGTTCCTAACTCTTTACATATAGTGCAAGTTCTTTAAGATGGATAAGGTTTTTCTTAATTCTTTATATTCTTATATAAATTTTTGTAATCAGTTGATCAGTTTCCTAAGGAAACACGTGGTATTTTGATTGTATTCTATAGATATTGTACATCTGCTTTCTATCTCATTAATTTTTTTTCCTTTTTGTCTTTTTTCGTGACCAGTAACGGGATCACAACCCTCAGTGTTGCGCCCGTACCGTGACCGGCAACGGGATCGCAACCCTCGGTGTTGCGCCCGCACCGCGCTCAACCAGTGAGCAGACCAGTCTCTATATGGGATCCGAACCCTCGGCGGGAGCGCCGCCGCGCTCCCAAGCGCCACACTCTACAGAGTGCGCCACCGGGCCGGCCCATATCTCATTAATTTCTTTTTTTTTTTTTTTTTTGTTTTTTGTCTTTTTTTTTTGTGTCCGGCAATGGATCGCAACCCTCAGTGTTGCCCCCTTTTTTTTTTTTTTTTGTCTTTTGTCTTTTTTTTCTGTGTCCGGCAATGGATCGCAACCCTCAGTGTCGCCCCTGTACTGGACCGGGGACCGGCAACGGGATCACAACCCTCAGCGTTGCTCCCGCGCCTCGCTCAGCCAGTGAGCGGGAACCGGTCTGTATGTGGGATCCGAACCCTCGGGCGGGAGCGCCGCCACGCTTCCCAAGCGGCGCACTTATCCAGTGCGCCACCGGGCCGGCCCCATATCTCATTAATTTCTGTTCTCATTTTTATTATGAGAATTCTGTTTCTCAAAGCATAATCAAATTTATTTGGTGATTCTTTTAAAAAATGTCTGTTTGTTTATAGTAGATAAGCAGCTCCGAATGTTAATTTTTTTTCTTAAGTGATTGACACATACTTGCCCCCAAAGGACACACATACACAGGTCATGGTGAGGGACAGAGACACTGTGTTTACAAAAATGTTTTCATACATGCATGCACACAAACCACTCAGGAATAGTAATTTTGTCCCAGTGTTCTTCATTGCCTTGAACTACTTAATATTACCTTTCAAAATATAGATTAAGTGGAAAGGGCCTTATACATTAGAAAAAGAAATTAACGAAGAAGGGAGAATATATACTTAAGAAAATTTAGGGCTTAATTCAGTGATTCTGACTCTGTCTCAGTATTTTAAAATGCTAATTGATGTGTTTATCCTTGCTTTTCTAGTGATATGCAGCTTTCGAGGATCTGTCCCTCAAGGGCTGGTCTTAGAAATAGGAGAAACGGTCCAAATTCTTGAAAAATGTGAAGGTAAGTTGGATCTATAGAGCACATAAATAGTGATCATTTCTGGTAGTATTGTAAACATTTATTTTGTGCTCCTAGATTATAAACAGTAATTTTGAAGCCATAATTAATCATATTATGAAATACTGTTATAAAATCTTTCCTGATCTATTTTTAGCATAAAGATAAGAGCTTTTTTGGCTCTAATCTAATAGCAACAACTAGATAATTCATTGTTGGCTATTAGAACATGACTTTTACGTACTATGTCAAGTAATTATTTTTTAATTTCCTGCAAGTAGATAATCTTCTACCCATGTTTAGTTATATTTGAGTAGAATTAAATTGTAATCAGTTCATTGGTGTGTTTCAGTCTTATTGGCTGGATATTTTTAGTAATAATTAAAACAAGGCTTTAAACAGGCTCAAGTGAAGTTTGGCTTGACTCCTATTCTCTTCTATGACATATATGGGTATTTCTGCCACATATTTATGTATTCTTGAAATACAGTATATCATGTTCTTCAAAATTATGTGGGTAAATCAACAAAAATTATAGGAAAAATAAAGTTAGGGAGAAACCACACAAAATCAGAGCACTAACAAAACAAAACTGATACTGTGGGAAATAACTTGGGCAGCCTAGGCCAATATTTCAGCATGACTAGAAGCCATTTCAGTTGACATAATAGAGTAGAACTTTTGTGATGTGGTCATGGAGACAATGCATACAGAAGTAGAGCTGTGATCCAGTTGGTCTACTGTTAAGCTGGGTATGGGAGTAAGTGCAACTTGTCATGATCCAGGAATCATAGAAGTTTAAGAGTGCACTTTTCTGGAAAGGGAGCTCTAGTGCAGCACTTATTTTAATTTTCTTAAAACAGAAGTATAAATCGGCATTCCTTCATGATAAAAACTCTTAGCAAAACAGTAGTAGAAGGTATTTTCTTAATCTAATGAAGGACTCCTACTGAAAAGCCTATAGCAAACATTATAGTCAGTTGTACAAAATTGAAGATTTCTTACTGGGATCTAAAAATGAGATAAGGACACCTGCTATTACCACATCTATTGAAGATTGTATTAGAGGTACTAGCTAATGTAGTAAGGTAAGAAAAAGAATGGAAAGAGAAACTGGAACTATCATTTGTAGATGATATGATTGTGTATGTGAAATATCCAATAGAATCTATAAAAAATTATAAGAATAAATAAGGGAATTTAGCAGGTTTGATGGCTGCAATGTCAATATTTAAAAATACATTATTTTTCTGTATGTTTGCAAAAAAGAATTGGAAAATGAATTGTAGAAACAATGCTGTTTATAATATTATAAAAAATTAAGTGCCAAGGAATAAACTAATGAAAAAATGCAAGACTTTTATGTTAAGAACTATAAAAATATTATTGATGGCAATGAAAGAAAATCTAAATAAATGAAGAAACTTACCATATTTACGGCTTGAAAGATTCACTATCATAAATATGGCAGTTCTCCCCAAATTAATCTAAAGATTTAATGCAATCCCAATAAAAATCCAACAGGATTTTTTTGGTATGGAAACTTAACTGTTGATTCTAACATTTATATGAAAATGCAAAAGGATGCAAAGAGCAAGACAATCTTGAAGAAGATAAAGTTGGAGGATTTACACTACCAGATATCAATATTTAGACAAAATAAGACATTGTAGTTTTTGGGCAAAGACAGAATAATGAAACAAAACAGAGGGGCCAGTAACAGACACTGGAGGAGCCACACCTGTGGAGTAGCTCTGGCTCACTCATGCCTTTTCACAAGTTCCTTTTGCCTACCCAGCATGTTGCTTCTATAGATCATCTCCAACCAATGCTCTCTGGCAACTTTTGTCACCACCGGCAGCTATGTGTTCCCATGGCAACCAAGCTCTTTCCCAGAGATTCTGAATCTTATAGTCTTGAGTGTGTATGTGTGTATGGGGGGTTTCTTGCTTGTCCACTCAGTGGACATATATCATCCACTGATTTATGAGAAAGGTGATATTGCAGTGCAGTAGAGAAATGATGTTCTTTACAGTAAGTGATGCTAGGCCTGTGGAATTAAAAATGATGGGCTATCCAATAAATGGTACTGGGCCAATACTGAAAGCAATGAATCTTGAACCTTATCTCACAGCATGTACCCCAAACTGAATTCCAGATGGATAGTACATCTAAATGTGAAATTTGAAACAATACTTCATCTTGAAGGAAGCATAGGAAAATATTATTGATGTTGGGTAGATAGAGATCTTTTATAAGGATACAAAAAGCACTAACCATAAAAGAAAAAGAAAAGACTTATGCTTTATTAAAATGAAGATCTTCTTTTGTTCAAAAGACATAGTTTAGGAGAGAGAAAAGGAAAACCAAGGAGAATTGACAAAATACTTAGGGTATATAAAGAATGACTAAAATCAGAAGTTAAGAGATAATTTAATAAAAGAACAGGCAAAAGTCTTAAATAGGCTCCTTACAAAACAAGTATCCTAGTAACTCATAAACAAAAGGAAAGATGCTTAATCTATCATCAGGGAAATACGTATTAAAACCACAGTGAGATACTATCAGACAGCCACTAGAATGACTTAAATTTAAAACACTGGCAATACCCAGTTCTAGTGGGAATATGTAACAACTCTTACCGACATACATTGCTGGGGAAAGGGAAAATGGGATTACTACTTTGAAAAATTGGGGCCGGCCCGTGGCTCACTCGGGAGAGTGCGGTGCTGATAACACCAAGGCCACGGGTTCGGATCCTATATAGGGATGGCTGGTTGGCTCACTGGCTGCACATGGTGTTGACAACACCAAGCCAAGGGTTGAGATCCCCTTACCGGTCATCTTTTTAAAAAAAAAAAAAAAAAAAGAAAAATTCTTTGGCACTATCTATTGAAGCTGAATGTGCATGTAACTTATGATCCAGCAATTCTACTCATAAGTATAAACCTAACAGCAAAATACCTGTATAAAATATTAATAGCAGTTTTAGACATAGTAGCCTAATCTGGAGAAAACCAAAATGTTCATCAGCAGAATGGGTAAATAACTTGTGGTATATATGTGTATACATATACATACACATATATATATACACACACAATCAAATTGAATGTGATATGGAAAAGAAAATGAGTTTATTACTGCTACACATTATACAGATAACTATCACAGATATACTATGGAAAAAGTCAGAGGTAAGAGTTCATGCTGTTACGATTCTACGTATATAAAGTACAGAATCAGATAAAACAAATAGATGATGATAATTGTCAGAATAGTGGTTATCTTTTTAAGGATGAGTGTGTTGGTGACTGGAGGAGGTACAAGTGGCTTTTGGGGTGGATGATGCTAGTGTTTTATTTTTCTGAGTGGTGGTTATACAGGTGTGTATACTTTTTGGAAATTTGGCTGTACACTAATGATTTTCACATTTATGGATATTGTAGACTAATAAAAAGTTTACTTAAGAAATAAAAGAACTTTGTGAAAAAAACATGTTAAAAAGTATAAAGATGCAACAATATGGATGGGTGTAAAAATATTACATTAAACAAGCTGAAATAAAATATTACATTCTGTGTGATTCCATTTGTATGAAGTTCAAGAACAAGTAACACTACAAATCTCTGGTGATAGAAACCAGAACAGTGGTTGCCCCTAGGAAGGGACTGACTAGAAAGAGGTATGAGGGAAATTTCAGGGTGATTGAAAAGTGCTGTGTCTTGATAAAGTGTGGATTACATGGGTATTACATTTGTCAAAGCTCATAGAATTGTATATTCATGATCTGTGTATTTCACTGTATATAATTTATGCATCAGTAAAATGGATTAATGTTTAAAAAATGATGAAAAATTAAGTCACAGATAAAAATATTTTTGCAGTGGTATAACTGACAAAGATAATAAAAATATAGAAGATAGCTTATAAACCAATAAGAATAAATAGTAGGTGAATAGAAAAATGAACAGAAATATGATCAGGGACTTCGCAGAAATACTCAGTCTTGTCAGCAGTCAAGGAATAGCAAGTTAAAACCAGACTGAAGAACGATTTCACACACATTAGTTTGAGAAGACTGAAATATGTGACATGTCCAAATGTTGGCACAAATATGTCTCCATGGGAATGCTTATGTGCTGCTGGTATCTTGTGAAGTTAAATGTGCATATCCTGTGACCTAGCTATTTAACTCCTTAGTTATATATTTTATTTTATTTATTGTCTTTTTCGTGACCGGTAAGGGGATCGCAACCCTTGGTGTGGTGTCACCCGCACCGCGCTCAGCCAGTGAGCGCACCGGTCATTCCTATATAGGATCCAAACCCGCGGTGGGAGCGTTGCTGCACTCCCAGCGCCGCACTCTCCTGAGTGCACCACGGGGCTGGCCCCTACTTAGTTATATATTTTAGAGAAATGATGTTCAAGCTATCTTCATCAGATTATTAGGGGGTTACAAATTATATTCAGTGGCTCACTATGAGCATTAATAAAAAAGAATAGAATAAAAAAGAATGGAATAGGGCCGGCCTGGTGGCACACTGGAGAGTGCGCCACCTGGGAGCGTGGCAGCGCTCCCGCTGAGGGTTCGGATCCCATGTGGAGACCGGTTCCTGCTCACTGGGTGAGTGCGGTGCGGGCGCAACACCGAGGGTTGTGATCCCGTTGCCGGTCAGTAAAAAAGACAAAAAGGAAAAAAAAAAAAAGAATGGAATAAAAAATATCAAAGTGTATTGCTGTATCAGTCATGATCCAATCAGGAGACAAATAATTTGAATAGCAAATATTTAATATAAATAGTTATTAACTAGTAAAAAGTGGTTAGCTACTAAAAGGGATAAAAGAAGTCTCAAAGGCATATACAAGTAGCAAATTTAGAAATTAGCTACTACCTCTGTGGCTGGGAAAAGAGGACAGGCAAGAAACTAAGAACTGAAAAGAACCTTTCCTCCTTCAAGGCTAAGATTCAGAATCTTTGGAAAAGAGCATGGCTGCCATAG